ACTTGTATGACAACTCTTTGATATTTTTCCAAATGGTCAAATGACCTCAAAACTTAAATAAAAACAGAGTCCATCGAGCAAAAATAGTGCGCATAGGTTGCGCGACCATGTGATGTAACAGATAAACGTAATAGCGCCATGTTAGGTGGTATGTTATGGCAGATTTATTTTCAAACAGTGAATAAACAGTGGAAAAAGAATCAGCGAGAAAAGTAAAGACGTAAAAGCAGAAAAAAAGATTTTAAAAATAGCAGTTGCTTATATAAAATGTACTACATCTAGCGAAAGGAAGATGTAAAACAAAAGAAGAAGGATAAAAAATCGAAAAATATTTCTTTCAACTTTGAGTAGCTTATTTAGTTCTAAAAAAGAATTTTAAATTATATACATTTGGTAGTAACGTTTCTACAGTACCTGGAATTATCTGAATATATATAAAAATAAAATGTTGAAAATATACTACTTTCATTCTTACATTATGTTAGTAGGGGAAAAAAGTTGAATTAGAGTCAATTCTACAACTAAATTGAGAGACCCTGATCTACATTCTAACGTAGCTGCTTTATTTTTATGCTGTTTTTGATTATAATACAAATTACAGTATTATTGGGTTAATTTTATTATTCATTAAATAGTTAATTACTATTGGTTGAATTTAATAAATTTCAGATATTATTAGTAGAAATATCCAGTATTTGCATCAATACCTTAATTTATTAGTCACATTATAATTTTTACCTTCGCACAAGATATAATAATATTGATGTTCGCCATTTTTTTTTTTTTTTCTAATGGCTGTCATTGTACGCGTTCCATCACATAGGGTGTTTCATTTACTCAGTTCAAATAACTTGGATGACATTCAAAATTTTTCCAACAAATCTAACTTTAATATTCGAAATATTTACTTAAATTTATTATAATTACTAAAAATAGTGTAGCGATCACTCAAATTTAGAAAAAAAAAAAAGAAAAAGAAGAGCAATACATTCTTAAAGAGTTTAAGAGGATAAAAGAGACAAGAAAGAAAGTTATAGTTCGAAATTGCAACAGCACATACATTCATGTAGTAGTACTAACAAAAAAAAAAATTGAACTACCTCGAAAATCATTCAATAGCGGTTCGTAACGTTCTGCACTGCCTCGAAACAATAGACATAATGTGCCACGCGACACCCTATGTATAGCGTACCAATACATACACGAGCACAACTGAAAGTGTGGCGTGACTATAATTTGGCGACAAGTACGAATATCTTCGCGGACTTTGAACGGCGTTGATTCGCGACAGATACACGGCTACCAAGCCACTCGCATAGTCCTATTCGTTATCTGAGATTCCAAGCAAAGAGCAATTCTCTCTTCTACCACACATTAATAATTAATATGAAAGAGCACAGTGGAAGCTCGAACTGCGAGATCAAGGCTCATATCGTTACGTATCTTTTACAAATTTAATATAACATGCAACAGCTAAGTAAAATTAATTACACAGTTCACTTGCTAAGATAAACCATTTGAATTTATAATCGCGTTTCCTCGCAAAAAGAAGTTAATTTCATGAACTTTCTATGTTTAAATTCCAATGATCGATTCCAAACATGCTAATAACCTACATAATAGTTCACACGACTGTACACAATTGAAGAAAAGAAGAAAGGAAATAAATTTGATTGTTGAAAAATAACAGAAGACTTTTCGAATCTATAGAATTATTTTATTGTTTCAAAATTTAAAAATTGAGAAACAGTAATAATAAAAATAATAGTAAGTGCCAGAAATAGACATGGCGTCGAAGAAGAAATAGATATATACGCTGTCATAGTTTTGTATTGCATCTTAGAATAAAATTCAAATGTAAATTATGTATATTTAGACAGAAATATGCATGAGATGTAGTTATGCAATCGGATAGAACATTAATTTGTCATCATTTACATGTTTGTAATCATTTGTATCCTCTCTGACTAATTTACATATTCTACGTCTAACTTCACTTATATAATATTTTATGTACAATTACGTTTTCATACAAAACAAAATAAAATTACTCATTTCTAATACTATGTATCTACAGGACGTGCAAAACAAATAATATAATCTAATATTACATATCTATAGGACGTACAAAAAAAAAACTTATTACTTTTTTATATAATACTTTATCTGTATGGCAAATTGCAAGTGAGTCTAAATTATATAACAGCAAAAATTGAGAGACGTACAATTATGCAACAATAATTTAAAAAGAAACAAACATAAGGAAACAGAAAACTACTGCTCATTTATGAATATTGTATCAAATACTTTGCATATTTTCAATACAAGTGCATATATATTATATGCATTCTGTATATTTTTACATTTTGATTTCTTATAAAAATATTCATCTAACAATCAACAAAAAAGCTAATAGATATATTTTGTAAGAAGAGTATGTGTTTATATTCCTATTCATCTAACAATCAATTAAGAAGCTAATAGATATATTGTGTTTTTCTAAGAAGAGTATGTGTTTATATTTCTATTCATCTAACAACCAATTAAAAAGCTAATAGATATATTGTGTTTTTGTAAGAAGAGTATGTGTTTGTATTCCTATTCATCACCATGAATAACATAAATATGTTAACAGAAATCATTCAACAGACATAAATAATACTACATGCTACACTACATTAATAATTTATATTTCAAACAATATTAGAATTCTCCTTCAAAGAAGCTTGCTATTTACATGCATATTTTGTAGATGCAAGAAATGAAAATGTAATTGTAAATCTGCAGAGACAGAGTGTGCGCATACATGCATAGCTAAAGAGGTGTTCATAATAGACATAAAGGAAAACATAGCTTTTTTCTTTATATTTTTTTCAATACACTACTACGACTCACGGTTTGTCGTCCACGATCATGATGAATCAGTATCTGGGCACCTTTATTCCCAAAAGATATTGTACCTCCTGTATTTTAACGGAAGTTGCTTTGTTGCGGATTAATGACACTGCAAGAAAAACCATTGGCAAAATCGATGTGGTTAATGATGTTCTAGGAAGCACAGGACGTCCTTTCTCTCTTTATTACTAGCATCAAAATACTATTCGATTCAAAATCGTTCTCAACGTAGAAACCGATTTTTCTCAAGTCTACAAGACTGTTTGTTTCAGCTATCATCATGTCAACCATGTCAACAATAATAGAATCATGATCGATGACCTACTAATATTTGATAATAAACCTACAATATTTGATGACTGATAAGTAAAGGTATTTTGAAACAATTGCAACCAATATTTTACATTGTACGAGTTCTTGAATTGGAAAGGAAAAACAAAGGAAAAAGAGATGTTATCAAATTCAAGTCGATAAAGTAGTTACATATAGTAGATACAACAAGTCGATAAAGTAGTTACATATAGTAGATACAACATGTGGTATCTTCTTATGTGTTCAGCCAATGTAACTTTTATTCAGGCAAACAGCTGTTAATAATAATTGACAAAGGAAAATCATATCAATTTTGTTTCACCAACCTTTAATCTTCAACTGTACTCAGCCAATGTCATCCTAATAGTCTAATATTTAGACTAATAGGAAATGATTGTCTATATCCAATATTTTTCCATCATGGATTAATCTTTTCACCTATTCATAAAAATCTCACACAGTGGGCCACTGTTTCCGATTTAATACCTCAATTTTATACATAGAGGAATTATTTATTTTAAGCATTTGCTGCAATTGCATTATGAGTACTTTATATTGGCTATGAAAGACTATTAAGATGACATTGAATTCACTTGAAGTCTTACACAGTCCGTTATCTGTATGGCAAGTAATTTGGTTAAGTGCACTTTATCATACACTCGCCACGTGCCGATTCGTAATGAAAATGTATGTCACAAAAATTGAAACATCATAAACGCTGACGTGTCGAATTAAGGGACATTACGAAATTGAAATGACTCGTGCCGAAATAAACATTTCGCGTTCTGAAACAATTTGTGCGATCACGTTTTACATTCAGTTATTAAAAAATTATTAAATTATTTAAAAAATTATACATGACAGATTTTATATATATATATAAAATTATTATATAATATTATATATATATATATTAAAAACTAAATTTTTTGACGATTGATTACATAACTAACGTTTAATTCATTTGATCTTCGTTTAATAGTACAATTATCATTTCAACATAAGATACAACAAACATGAAACGAAATAATCAACAATGTTGAAAGAATAAACTTCAACTCAGCAGCAAGTCGGAAAGATCATGATACAAAGCTCGATCTTTGAAAATAGATAACGGGGTCACTGAGCGATCAAGCAAGCGCGATGCATACGTGTATGTATATGTGTACACATATATGCATATATAATTTAAGCAATCCAATTTGGACCTTGAACAAGAATCATAAACTATTCAATTTTTCCATTAATTCTTACATACTTCTTTATTCGTATCAAAGCTCCTAGATGTGACTCTAATCTTCTGTTTTATCTATTTTATATTGATAAAAATTGATTAACTTGTACTCTTGTGGAACATTGTAGTATATACAATCAGATTTTAATAATAAAATTGTATTCATTAATCTTGCATTACATTGTACGAGATAGGACTAAATATTTAAACAACAGAACAAGAAATATTAGATAAATACATTTAAACAGCTGATCAATTGCATCTTGTAATAAATTCTAGTAATGAGTAATGCATTATCAATTTCAATGTAAATGTAATATTCAATGTACAATGCTACTACTATTCAATACCGACATAAACGACTGAAATAATTAATTAATATTAAAATATTTTTATTATCGTTTCTTAAACTGCGTTAATATAATAATGCCAATTATATATTCTGTACAATATGAGAAATATTATCTTCAAAGGATAATTTGTACAACCTTGTACAACATAATCACTTTGAAAAAAAAGTTACATATATATATATTGAATAATATATATAATGTACCATAATAATGTTATATATATACCATAGACTAAGCTTATTGCTGCAATCTTCTACAGATCCTGTAGAAATCAAGAAAATCCATTAGGAATTAATTAACATAAACATATCACTGCGACGTAGATAATGTAAATAAACAAAATCTAAATATTTAAAAACAAATTATTCACCACGACGCTATAAATATTTCAATTTCTTTTCATAAAAAATTGCAGAATCTAACTGCCCTAAAGTGCAAGATGCAAGGATTTGAATTTAAAGACAGGCGAAGATATTAAACTGCTGAATCTCGTTTGTAATTAGAATTTCTTACATTATACATGAATTTTAATACTCCAAGCCTCTCTCTAACAACCCGTTGCAGCGAAAGCTTCTTTCTCCATTAGACGTAAGATGAGAGACACAGTTTGTTTACAAAATAGAGCTGGAGCTAAAGGCAGATGTATGCGTGTATTGTGTGCTCTTATCTAAGAAAACTTTATCACGAAAGATGAAACTTCGCGTTCACGGATCATGCACGTGCATATTCAAATTGGAACGTTCCTATTGGTCAGCTTCCTGTCTGGGAAGCGTTCATGTATCCCTTGATCGCTCACGAGCCACAAATCTGCTCGATCGTTCGAAGCTGTAATGGCTGGCATCCTCTGGTATTAGGTCAAATTATGTAAAACGGGCAAGGAATTTTGATTTCTGTCGAATCCGATGAAAATAACTTTATCAATGAAATAATTGTTATTTTCTCTTCGTATTTCATCGTCGACGTTTCACTTGAAATTATCTTCAGTCAGTGTGCTTAAAAAATAAACACGATGCCGTCGATGATCAATCAAGTTGAATCGCGATCGACATCGAAAAAACCAATAAGATAGTAGGCTGTGAAAGGAAATGACTCGGCGAATTATTTCTAATTATGTTTGACGTGGCTGACAATATGCAGAGGAAGTAGCAAATGCATCAATTGGGGCACAATGCTAACAATGCAAATTAGTAAAATATTTTTGCTTTTCCTTGGCATCATTGCAAACAGCATGTTTTCGATTTCTCATTCTAGTCGATATTGATAGGCTTCTGAGTCGTTTAACACCAAGGTTAGCGCCTGACCGTTGGAGCATAACGTATCACGTTACAACCCTATTTCCCAGGCGATAACTCTAATTGTAAGCCAGTACTAATTTGACTGTTGTGCGAGGAATGGCAGTTCTCAACATATAGGATGCTCGATTTAAATAAAACCACCTACAAAAATATTTTCCAAGGTTCTTCCTTTCGGAATTTATGAAATTATTGATGTTTTCCTTTTCAGGTCGCTACATGACAAGAGACTTTTGAATAACAAGAGATATTAATCGTGCTTTGGAATTTCCCTTTTCTCCTCTGAATAGTAATTTTAGTCCATAGTTCTCGATATCATTCAGAAAAAAAATTGGGTCAAAATTGAAACTGAAAAAAAAAAA